AGGGCATGGCAGGGCATGGCAGGGCAGGGCATGGCAGGGCAGGGCAGGGCAGGGCATGGCAGGGCATGGCAGGGCAGGGCATGGCAGGGCAGGGCATGGCAGGGCAGGGCATGGCAGGGCAGGGCATGGCAGGGCAGGGCATGGCAGGGCATGGCATGGCAGGGCAGGGCATGGCAGGGCATGGCATGGTAGGGCATGGCATGGCAGGGCAGGGCATGGCAGGGCAGGGCATGGTAGGGCAGGGCATGGCATGGCATGGCAGGGCATGGCAGGGCATGGCAGGGCAGGGCAGGGCATGGCAGGGCATGGCAGGGCAGGGCATGGCAGGGCATGGCATGGTAGGGCATGGCATGGCAGGGCAGGGCATGGCAGGGCATGGCATGGCAGGGCATGGCATGGTAGGGCATGGCATGGCAGGGCAGGGCATGGCAGGGCATGGCAGGGCATGGCATGGCATGGCAGGGCATGGCATGGCAGGGCATGGCATGGCAGGGCAGGGCATGGCAGGGCATGGCAGGGCAGGGCATGGCAGGGCAGGGCATGGCAGGGCAGGGCATGGCAGGGCAGGGCATGGCAGGGCATGGCATGGCAGGGCAGGGCAGGGCAGGGCAGGGCAGGGCATGGCAGGGCATGGCATGGCAGGGCATGGCATGGCATGGCAGGGCATGGCATGGCAGGGCAGGGCATGGCAGGGCATGGCAGGGCAGGGCAGGGCAGGGCAGGGCAGGGCAGGGCATGGCAGGGCAGGGCATGGCAGGGCAGGGCATGGCAGGGCAGGGCAGGGCATGGCAGGGCATGGCATGGCATGGCAGGGCAGGGCATGGCATGGCAGGGCAGGGCATGGCAGGGCAGGGCATGGCATGGCATGGCATGGCAGGGCATGGCAGGGCAGGGCAGGGCAGGGCAGGGCATGGCAGGGCAGGGCATGGCAGGGCAGTGCATGGCAGGGCAGGGCATGGCAGGGCATGGCATGGTAGGGCATGGCATGGCAGGGCAGGGCATGGCAGGGCATGGCATGGCAGGGCATGGCATGGTAGGGCATGGCATGGCAGGGCAGGCATGGCAGGGCATGGCAGGGCATGGCATGGCATGGCAGGGCATGGCATGGCAGGGCATGGCATGGCAGGGCAGGGCATGGCAGGGCATGGCAGGGCAGGGCATGGCAGGGCAGGGCATGGCAGGGCAGGGCATGGCAGGGCAGGGCATGGCAGGGCATGGCATGGCAGGGCAGGGCAGGGCAGGGCAGGGCATGGCAGGGCATGGCATGGCAGGGCATGGCATGGCATGGCAGGGCATGGCATGGCAGGGCAGGGCATGGCAGGGCATGGCAGGGCAGGGCAGGGCAGGGCAGGGCAGGGCAGGGCATGGCAGGGCAGGGCATGGCAGGGCAGGGCATGGCAGGGCAGGGTAGGGCATGGCAGGGCATGGCATGGCATGGCAGGGCAGGGCATGGCATGGCAGGGCAGGGCATGGCAGGGCAGGGCATGGCATGGCATGGCATGGCAGGGCATGGCAGGGCAGGGCAGGGCAGGGCAGGGCATGGCAGGGCAGGGCATGGCAGGGCAGTGCATGGCAGGGCAGGGCAGGGCATGGCAGGGCATGGCATGGCATGGCAGGGCAGGGCATGGCATGGCAGGGCAGGGCATGGCAGGGCATGGCAGGGCATGGCATGGCATGGCAGGGCATGGCATGGCAGGGCATGGCATGGCAGGGCAGGGCATGGCAGGGCATGGCAGGGCAGGGCATGGCAGGGCAGGGCATGGCAGGGCAGGGCAGGGCATGGCAGGGCAGGGCATGGCAGGGCAGGGCATGGCAGGGCAGGGCATGGCAGGGCATGGCAGGGCAGGGCATGGCAGGGCAGGGCAGGGCAGGGCATGGCAGGGCATGGCAGGGCAGGGCATGGCAGGGCAGGGCATGGCAGGGCAGGGCATGGCAGGGCAGGGCATGGCAGGGCAGGGCATGGCAGGGCAGGGCATGGCAGGGCAGGGCATGGCAGGGCAGGGCATGGCAGGGCAGGGCATGGCAGGGCATGGCATGGCAGGGCAGGGCATGGCAGGGCATGGCATGGTAGGGCATGGCATGGCAGGGCAGGGCATGGCAGGGCAGGGCATGGTAGGGCAGGGCATGGCATGGCATGGCAGGGCATGGCAGGGCATGGCAGGGCAGGGCAGGGCATGGCAGGGCATGGCAGGGCAGGGCATGGCAGGGCATGGCATGGTAGGGCATGGCATGGCAGGGCAGGGCATGGCAGGGCATGGCATGGCAGGGCATGGCATGGTAGGGCATGGCATGGCAGGGCAGGGCATGGCAGGGCATGGCAGGGCATGGCATGGCATGGCAGGGCATGGCATGGCAGGGCATGGCATGGCAGGGCAGGGCATGGCAGGGCATGGCAGGGCAGGGCATGGCAGGGCAGGGCATGGCAGGGCAGGGCATGGCAGGGCAGGGCATGGCAGGGCATGGCATGGCAGGGCAGGGCAGGGCAGGGCAGGGCAGGGCATGGCAGGGCATGGCATGGCAGGGCATGGCATGGCATGGCAGGGCATGGCATGGCAGGGCAGGGCATGGCAGGGCATGGCAGGGCAGGGCAGGGCAGGGCAGGGCAGGGCAGGGCATGGCAGGGCAGGGCATGGCAGGGCAGGGCATGGCAGGGCAGGGCAGGGCATGGCAGGGCATGGCATGGCATGGCAGGGCAGGGCATGGCATGGCAGGGCAGGGCATGGCAGGGCAGGGCATGGCATGGCAGGGCATGGCAGGGCAGGGCATGGCAGGGCATGGCAGGGCAGGGCATGGCAGGGCAGGGCAGGGCAGGGCATGGCAGGGCATGGCAGGGCAGGGCATGGCAGGGCAGGGCATGGCAGGGCAGGGCATGGCAGGGCAGGGCATGGCAGGGCAGGGCATGGCAGGGCATGGCATGGCAGGGCAGGGCATGGCAGGGCATGGCATGGTAGGGCATGGCATGGCAGGGCAGGGCATGGCAGGGCAGGGCATGGTAGGGCAGGGCATGGCATGGCATGGCAGGGCATGGCAGGGCATGGCAGGGCAGGGCAGGGCATGGCAGGGCATGGCAGGGCAGGGCATGGCAGGGCATGGCATGGTAGGGCATGGCATGGCAGGGCAGGGCATGGCAGGGCATGGCATGGCAGGGCATGGCATGGTAGGGCATGGCATGGCAGGGCAGGGCATGGCAGGGCATGGCAGGGCATGGCATGGCATGGCAGGGCATGGCATGGCAGGGCATGGCATGGCAGGGCAGGGCATGGCAGGGCATGGCAGGGCAGGGCATGGCAGGGCAGGGCATGGCAGGGCAGGGCATGGCAGGGCAGGGCATGGCAGGGCATGGCATGGCAGGGCAGGGCAGGGCAGGGCAGGGCAGGGCATGGCAGGGCATGGCATGGCAGGGCATGGCATGGCATGGCAGGGCATGGCATGGCAGGGCAGGGCATGGCAGGGCATGGCAGGGCAGGGCAGGGCAGGGCAGGGCAGGGCAGGGCATGGCAGGGCAGGGCATGGCAGGGCAGGGCATGGCAGGGCAGGGCATGGCAGGGCATGGCATGGCATGGCAGGGCAGGGCATGGCATGGCAGGGCAGGGCATGGCAGGGCAGGGCATGGCATGGCATGGCATGGCAGGGCATGGCAGGGCAGGGCAGGGCAGGGCAGGGCATGGCAGGGCAGGGCATGGCAGGGCAGTGCATGGCAGGGCAGGGCATGGCAGGGCATGGCATGGTAGGGCATGGCATGGCAGGGCAGGGCATGGCAGGGCATGGCATGGCAGGGCATGGCATGGTAGGGCATGGCATGGCAGGGCAGGGCATGGCAGGGCATGGCAGGGCATGGCATGGCATGGCAGGGCATGGCATGGCAGGGCATGGCATGGCAGGGCAGGGCATGGCAGGGCATGGCAGGGCAGGGCATGGCAGGGCAGGGCATGGCAGGGCAGGGCATGGCAGGGCAGGGCATGGCAGGGCATGGCATGGCAGGGCAGGGCAGGGCAGGGCAGGGCAGGGCAGGGCATGGCAGGGCATGGCATGGCAGGGCATGGCATGGCATGGCAGGGCATGGCATGGCAGGGCAGGGCATGGCAGGGCATGGCAGGGCAGGGCAGGGCAGGGCAGGGCAGGGCAGGGCATGGCAGGGCAGGGCATGGCAGGGCAGGGCATGGCAGGGCAGGGCAGGGCATGGCAGGGCATGGCATGGCATGGCAGGGCAGGGCAGGGCATGGCATGGCAGGGCAGGGCATGGCAGGGCAGGGCATGGCATGGCATGGCATGGCAGGGCATGGCAGGGCAGGGCAGGGCAGGGCAGGGCATGGCAGGGCAGGGCATGGCAGGGCAGTGCATGGCAGGGCAGGGCAGGGCATGGCAGGGCATGGCATGGCATGGCAGGGCAGGGCATGGCATGGCAGGGCAGGGCATGGCAGGGCATGGCAGGGCATGGCATGGCATGGCAGGGCATGGCATGGCAGGGCATGGCATGGCAGGGCAGGGCATGGCAGGGCATGGCAGGGCAGGGCATGGCAGGGCAGGGCATGGCAGGGCAGGGCATGGCAGGGCATGGCATGGCAGGGCAGGGCAGGGCAGGGCATGGCAGGGCATGGCATGGCAGGGCATGGCATGGCAAGGCAGGGCATGGCAGGGCATGGCAGGGCAGGGCATGGCAGGGCAGGGCAGGGCAGGGCAGGGCATGGCAGGGCAGGGCATGGCAGGGCAGGGCATGGCAGGGCATGGCAGGGCAGGGCATGGCAGGGCAGGGCATGGCAGGGCAGGGCAGGGCAGGGCAGGGCAGGGCAGGGCAGGGCATGGCAGGGCAGGGCATGGCATGCCCTCTGCACCACGCCCTCTGCACCACGCCCTCTCCACCACGCCCTCTCCACCACGCCCTCTCCACCTCGCCCTCTCCACCACGCCCTCTCCACCACGCCCTCTCCACCACGCCCTGTTTGCATCTGGAAGGAATGGCTCCTCCCTTCTACCCTTCAATAAATGGTTGGCTCTACACCATGCGTCGCACCCTTTTGAGGCGCCTCAAAGACACCATGCGTCGCACCCTTTTGAGGCGCCTCAAAGACACCATGCGTCGCACCCTTTTGAGGCACCTCAAAGACACCATGCGTCGCACCCTTTTGAGGCGCCTCAAAGACACCATGCGTCGCACCCTTTTGAGGCGCCTCAAAGACACCATGCGTCGCACCCTTTTGAGGCGCCTCAAAGACACCATGCGTCGCACCCTTTTGAGGCGCCTCAAAGACACCATGCGTCGCACCCTTTTGAGGCGCCTCAAAGACACCATGCGTCGCACCCTTTTGAGGCGCCTCAAAGACACCATGCGTCGCACCCTTTTGAGGCGCCTCAAAGACACCATGCGTCGCACCCTTTTGAGGCGCCTCAAAGACACCATGCGTCGCACCCTTTTGAGGCGCCTCAAAGACACCATGCATCGCACCCTTTTGAGGCGCCTCAAAGACACCATGCGTCGCACCCTTTTGAGGCGCCTCAAAGACACCATGCGTCGCACCCTTTTGAGGCACCTCAAAGACACCATGCGTCGCACCCTTTTGAGGCGCCTCAAAGACACCATGCGTCGCACCCTTTTGAGGCGCCTCAAAGACACCATGCGTCGCACCCTTTTGAGGCGCCTCAAAGACACCATGCGTCGCACCCTTTTGAGGCGCCTCAAAGACACCATGCGTCGCACCCTTTTGAGGCGCCTCAAAGACACCATTCGTCGCACCCTTTTGAGGCGCCTCAAAGACACCATGCGTCGCACCCTCCCCGTCTCTAGTGCTTTGCCTCTTTCCCTGCCCCCTACAATCCTCTTCTTTCATATCTGCTCTCCCTCATCCCTCCATTCTGCCCGTGCCAAGCGATTGGCTCTACACCATGCAACGCACTCTCCCATTCTCCTGCCCTCCCCTTTTTTTTTATTATCCACTCTCTTCTTCCTGCTTCAAATGAGTTTCTCCCTCATCCCTCTCTTTCTCCCACACCCCTCCTCATCTCCCCTCCCACGCGGTTGCCTCTAGCTCTACACCATGCGTCACACAGTCCCCTTCTCCTACGCCCTACCCTTTCTTTCACCGTCTCCCTCCATCCACCCTGCTCCTGCCATGCCGTTGGCTCTACACCATGCGTCGCACCCTCCCTTTCTCCTGTCTTTTCCTGTTTTCTTTCTTCTGTCCTCGTTGTCCTTGATCCCCTTCCCCCTTCTCCCACCCCCTTCCCCATCTCCCCTCCCAGGTGGTTGGCTCTACGCCATGCGCCGCACCCTCTCCTTCTCCTGTGCTTCCCCGCTTCCCGTTCTTTCAGTTTTCTTCTTCCTTATTAACTACATTTCCCCCCCCCAACCAGGTGGTTGGCGCTACGCCATGCTTCGCACCCTCCCCTTCTCCTGCCCGCCCTCCGCCATCCCCCTATTCGTGAAGGGCTGTCACCGTTGGCTGGGCCTGGTGGCTGCTCTATCTCTCCTCACTCTCCCTCATCCCCCTCTTCTCCCACTCCCTTCCCCCATCTGCCCCCCCCAGGTGGTTGGCTCTACACCATGCGTCGCACCCTCCCCTTCTCCTGCCCCCCCTCCGCCATTCCTCCTTTCGTGGAGGTGGATCTGTCTGCATTGGATGTGGGCCACAAGATCACCCTTGCTGACGTGGCAAGGCAGGTGGATCCGCGTCTCAGATTGCTCCTGGCAGATGTGTCTCACCCCGTCTGCAAGATAGCTGGCAGCAGGTCATTGGCCAAGGAAGCAGCGCCTGCTTAGTCCACCATACATTTTATACTGAACATGTAACTAGGTAGGAACCCAGCACTTGTTGCATATATAGCTTTGAGCTCGTGTCTCATCTCACTCCGTTTGCAAGATAGCTGGCAGCAGGTCATTGGCCAAGGAAGCCACACATGCGTAATTCGCGATACAGTACATGCTATGAACAATAAACTAGGACCATGTGCTTGCTGCATAGAGCATGCCAGAATAATCTTGCATACAAGATGCTGATATTTCTGGGGCGGAGCGTAGGTATTCGGTTTCTCCTAAAATGCTCTAAATATAAGATGTAAGAGGGCCCAGCGAAACTACATGAGAAGGGGAGGGTGATTCGTGGTTCGCTATAAGCACGAGCAGCCTCTGCTGCCCCAGCAGGATCTCGTTAAGAAAGCCGACGAGTGCCAGCCACACAACGGAAAGATGTCTTGACTTACGGTACCGGCACTCTCAAACCCCGTTCTCTACAAAAAAAAAAATCCCATTTGAAATCCCATACCACGAGAGAGATGGCTATCACAAGAGCGACTCCTGATTCGCTATAAACACGAGCAGCCCCTGCTGGCTCAGCAGGATTTCGTTTCGAACGCTTATGAGTGCCAGGAACACAATGGGGGCGACGTCGACCCCCCCGGTGGGCTGGATGACGGCTCTGGTGATGCGGGGGATGGGCTTCTTGGGTGCATTGTGATGATGAAAAGGTACTCGGACACTAGGAGCTACAGGGAGGAGAATGGGAAGGGTTGGAAGGGAGACAAGAGTTATGGATCACACGGACACAGGAAGTGAGATGTCGACTGCCTTTTTCCACCCACTCGATGAGCTGGATGATGGCTCTGTCGAGGCGGAGGATGGGCTCGGTGGGTGCACAGGCGATGATGAAATGGAACTCGGACACTGGGAGCTGGAGGGGGGATGGGGGGAGAGGGAGAAGGGGGGTGAGATGGGCAAGCCACTGATGGGCCCCGTCTGTGCATAGGCGATGATGAAAGGGAGCTCGGCCACTGGGAGCTTGAAGGGGGAATGGGAGCTGGGACACTGGTAGCTGGAGGAAGAGGGGAAGGGGTGGGGAAAAGAGGGGAATGGATGGTGGGGTGGGAGGAGTGGAACGGGGAGAGGGAGGGTGTAGGATTGAGAGAGGGAGAGGAGAGGAGGGGGTTGAAAGGACGAGAATCACGCACACAGCAAATAAGATGTCGGACCCCCCCTCCCAAACGGCTTAAATAAGGGCTCTGGTGAGGCGGAGGATGGGCTCGGTGGGTGCACACGCGATGACGCCGTTTTTTTAGAATTCTCAAGGAACTCGGACACTGGGAGCTGGATGGGAGAGAGAGGACACGTGATTGAAGAAGTGTTTTGAGATGTGATCACCACACTTCTTCAATCACGTGAATTCTCAAGGAACTCGGACACTGGGAGCGGGATGGGAGAGAGAGAAGACAATGATTGGAGAAGTGTTTTGAGACGTGATCACCACACTTCTTCAATCATATGAATTCTCAAGGAACTCAGACACTGGGAGCTGGATGGGAGAGAGAGAAGACACGTGATTGAAGAAGTGTTTTGAGACGTGATCACCACACTTCTTCAATCACGTGAATTCTCAAGGAACTCGGACACTGGGAGCTGGATGGGAGAGAGAGAGAAGGCACGTGATTGAAGAAGTGTTTTGAGACGTGATCACCACACTTCTTCAATCACGTGAATTCTCAAGGAACTCGGACACTGGGAGCTGGATGGGAGAGAGAGAGAAGACACGTGATTGAAGAAGAGTTTTGAGGCGTGATCACCACACTTCTTCAATCACGTGAATTCTCAACGAACTCGGACACTGGAAGCTGGATGGGAGAGATAGAAGACACGTGATTGGAGAAGTGTTTTGAGACGTGATCAAAACAATTCTTCAAACACGTGAATTCTGAAGGAACTCGGACACTGGGAGCTGGATGGGAGAGAGAGAGAAGACACGTGATTGAAGAAGTGTTTTGAGACGTGATCACCAGACTTCTTCAATCACGTGAATTCTCAAGGAACTTGGACACTAGGAGCTGGATGGGAGAGAGAGAAGAGTGATTGAAGAAGTGTTTTGAGACGTGATCACAACACTTCTTCAATCACGTGAAGTCTCAAGGAACTCGGACACTGGGAGCTGGATGGGAGAGAGAGAAGACACGTGATTGAAGAAGTGTTTTGAGACATGATCAAAACACTTCTTCAATCACGTGAATTCTCAAGGAACTCGGACACTGGGAGCTAGATGGGAGAGAGAGAGAAGACACGTGATTGAAGAAGTGCTTTGAGACGTGATCAAAACACTTCTTCAATCACGTGAATTCTCAAGGAACTAGGACACTGGGAGCTGGATGGGAGAGAGAGAAGACACGTGTTTGAAGAAGTGTTTTGAGACGCGATCAAAACACTTCTTCAATCACGTGAATTCTCAAGGAACTCGGACACTTGGAGCTGAATGGGAGAGAGAGAAGACACGTGATTGAAGAAGTGTTTTGAGACGTGATCACCACACTTCTTCAATCACGTGAATTCCGAAGGAACTCGGACACTGGGAGCTGGATGGGAGAGAGAGAAGACACGTGATTGAAGAAGTGTTTTGAGACGTGATCACAACACTTCTTCAATCACGTGAAGTCTCAAGGAACTCGGACACTGGGAGCTGGATGGGAGAGAGAGAAGACACGTGATTGAAGAAGTGTTTTGAGACATGATCAAAACACTTCTTCAATCACGTGAATTCTCAAGGAACTCGGACACTGGGAGCTAGATGGGAGAGAGAGAGAAGACACGTGATTGAAGAAGTGTTTTGAGACGTGATCAAAACACTTCTTCAATCACGTGAATTCTCAAGGAACTAGGACACTGGGAGCTGGATGGGAGAGAGAGAAGACACGTGTTTGAAGAAGTGTTTTGAGACGCGATCAAAACACTTCTTCAATCACGTGAATTCTCAAGGAACTCGGACACTTGGAGCTGAATGGGAGAGAGAGAAGACACGTGATTGAAGAAGTGTTTTGAGACGTGATCACCACACTTCTTCAATCACGTGAATTCTCAAGGAACTCGGACACTGGGAGCTGGATGGGAGAGAGAGAAAAGACACGTGATTGAAGAAGTGCTTTGAGGCGTGATCACCACACTTCTTCAATCACGTGAATTCTCAACGAACTCGGACACTGGGAGCTGGATGGGAGAGATAGAAGACACGTGATTGAAGAAGTGTTTTGAGACATGATCAAAACAATTCTTCAAACACGTGAATTATGAAGGAACTCGGACACTGGGAGCTGGATGGGAGAGAGAGAGAGAAGACACGTGATTGAAGAAGTGTTTTGAGACGTGATCACCAGACTTCTTCAATCACGTGAATTCTCAAGGAACTCGGACAATGGGAGCTGGATGGGAGAGAGAGAAGAGTGATTGAAGAAGTGTTTTGAGACGTGATCACAACACTTCTTCAATCACGTGAAGTCTCAAGGAACTCGGACACTGGGAGCTGGATGGGAGAGAGAGAGAGAGAAGAAACGTGATTGAAGAAGTGTTTTGAGACATGATCAAAACACTTCTTCAATCACGTGAATTCTCAAGGAACTTGGACACTGGGAGCTGGATGGGAGAGAGAGAGAAGACACGTGATTGAAGAAGTGTTTTGAGACGTGATCAAAACACTTCTTCAATCACGTGAATTCTCTAGGAACTAGGACACTGGGAGCTGGATGGGAGAGAGAGAAGACACGTGTTTGAAGAAGTGTTTTGAGACGTGATCAAAACACTTCTTCAATCACGTGAATTCTTAAGGAACTCAGACACAGGGAGCTGGATGGGAGAGAGAGAAGACACGTGATTGAAGAAATGTTTTGAGACGTGATCACCACACTTCTTCAATCACGTGAATTCCGAAGGAGCTCGGACATTGGGAGCTGGATGGGAGAGAGAGAAGACACGTGATTGAAGAAGAGTTTTGAGACGTGATCACCACACTTCTTCAATCACGTCAATTCTCAAGGAACTCAGACACTATGGGCTTGATGGGAGAGAGAGAAGACACATGATTGAAGAAGTGTTTTGAGACGTGATCAAAACAATTCTTCAAACACGTGAATTCCGAAGGAACTCGGACATTGGGAGCTGGATGGGAGAGAGAGAAGGTGGGGGATGAGTAGGAGGGACGAGGGGGGGAGAGAAGAGAGGGGGAACACGGATACAGCGATTGAGATGGGCAAGGGACTCATTAACTCTGTGGGTGCACAGGTGATGATGAATAGGAAGTAGGGCACTGGGAGCTGGGGGGGGGGAGGGAGGAGAGTACACGGAGTAAAGGAAAGGGAGAAGGGTGGAGAGTGTGGAGAGGTTGATTGCACACACAGCAGGTGGGTTGGTTATAGGTCGACCCCTCAAGGGGCTGGATATTGTTGGCTCTGGTGATGTGGAGATTGGGCTCGGTGATCACGTAGGCGATGCGATGATGAAGGGGGGACTTCGACACTAGGAGCTACAGGGGGAAATGAGGGGAGTGGGGAGAGAGGGAGAGAGGGATGAGATGGGGCAAGGCACTTATGGGCTCGGTGGGCGCATATGCGATGATGAAGGGGGAACCCCGAAACTGGGAGCTGGAGAGAAGCAGAAGGAGGAGGGGGGGGGGGGGGGGGGGGGGGGGGTGAAGGAAAGGGGGTTGGGGGGGCAGAAATAACGCACACAGCAGGGGGTCACTAGGTCGGGGAGTTGTCACCCCCCCCAATGGGCTAGACCGCTGGTTCAATGAATAAGGAAATAAGACGGAATAAAGAGACTTTTTAGGAATCCTCTAAAGCGGCTGCTGGTCTGTTGATGAGGGATGCAAGACAGGGGACCTGCTAACCTGCTGGGCGAGGATGGAAAATTGAGACTTTTTGTTAGAATGAGAGAAGTGGTGGAACTAGAAAGGAATGGGAGTACAAGTACCTAACCCTAGAATGATGTACCCCCTAGAGGCTAACCCACTGTAG